CCGGGGCCCCATGAAAACTATTCGAATTGGGCCCCGCACTTCCTAAAGCCAGCCCTGAGCAGGTGGCTGGGCTGGGATGGGCACTGGAACTTAAAACCTGGCTGGAGCTTGCTGCTTTCCCTGATGCCCCCATGTGTGCCAGGCTTTGACTCCTGCCCCCTTGGTGCTAATAGGTGCCCCCCTTTAAGCACTCTTTTAAATTGTTCTTTCTTGTCCCTTTCAGGGTGTTTTTCTCCTCAGCAGCGCACAAGAGAGAAGCTGTTGCCAGTGGCCCTGCAAGGCAAAATGAGCTTTGCCTGCCCCCCTCAGCCTAACTTGCTACTTGGCCCCATTCCTGCCTCTCTTCCTGGGCTGATCCAGTGGCCGAAAGGGGCTGTGAGTGCTGCTGACAGAGAAGAAGCTGGGAGGCAAGGTGCTGGCAGCAAGAGATTCCAGCTGCCTCTTTGCCTGGGTCTCCGTGCGCCATGCCGGCCGCCACCCACCTTGACCAAACCTCAAACTAGCTGGACTAGCCAGCCCATGTCACAGTGAGTCACTAGTGGCCCTGTCAGAGATGAGCCATTGGCAGCTGCAGAGACATCCCTCCAGATGCCTGAGGTGTCTTTCTGAATGCTAAGCTACTGTAGGATGGCTAGCTCAGTGGGTTAGCACGTGGTGCTAATAACACCAGGGCATAGGTTCAAGCCCTATGTTGGTCACTGTAGCCAGCTAAAAATCCTCTTGCTTTCCTCTGAAATCCTTGGGAGGGAGAATCTGTGGGAACAGAACTCTGTCTTCAGGGCCTCCAGAGGTGCTGGAATAACTATGGCCCTGGATGGTAACCAGATAACAGTGGCAGTTGGGCCAGCAGATGATGGGGGGGGGGCTTGGGCTGCCCTTGGTTGATACCAGTAATTGATATGCCTACATGCTGTCCCAGAAGAGGCATCTGCTGCCCCATCAGAAAAGAATGTCTGGTTCTAATGATTTAGTTACCTCCACTTCACAGGTGCAAATTAAGCTTGGGCAACTCCCTGTGGGAAAGGGTGTCACAAAGATGTTCCAACTTAATTGGCATTTTATGACAAGAGAAGCATCTATGTGACCAACAGGGGTATAAAGTGGGGTCCTATGCCCCACTCTAATTGGAGATCCAACCACATGCCTGCTGGCCAGGCAGTCCTGGACCCCTGAGACTTTTGGGACACCTTCATCTCGTACGGACTGCTTCCCATTGGGATTAAGAGAAACACTGGCTTTGCCAGAGTAAGGATCACAGAGGTGAGAATATACCTGCTAAGTGTCTGTTTTACGGGTATTCAGTAAGAGCTCAGAGAACCAAAAGGGTTTCATGGTACCTTTAAGTGACTTTTATTGTAGTTCTGTCTTGTCTTTGTAGTGACTGTGTTATCTGTAACACAGCAATAACATTTAACAGCTAAGCTTGCCTTGTAATAATAAAGCAGTAACTGTTTAAATCTTAACCTGACTCCTCCTGTTGCTGTAACAGAACCAAACACAATCAAACACATCTGCAGTGCCTCTTGGCCCTAGCGCTAGGCCCTGGGCTCCCAGCGCAGCAGCTGGTTTAAGGCCGGAGAGTGTTTCCGCCCCGCTCAGGGGTCCCGTAGGAAGCTCTCACCTGGGAGACCGTCACCGCCCCATAGGGAGCAGCTCTCGGGCACAGACACGTGGGGCGCTGTTTCCTATAGGAGCGCACCCTAGCGAGCGTACCCGTGAGAAAGTACGACCCGCAGCGCATTGCCCAGGCCCGGCTCCCAGAGGCAGCAGCAACATCTGTCCTGGGGAGCCCCTCCCCGCGGGGCTGGGGGCGTGGCCCGGCATCTCTCGATCTGAGGTAAGCCCTGGCACTGGATAACCATCAGAGTCATTGACCCGTTGCGCATGCGTGGTCTGACCGCGCCCGCCCCATTCCAAACTCCACGGCCGAGTTTTCAGTGCGTTCCCGACCGTGCTCAGGCCCCGCCCACCTCGCAGCGGTCTGCAGCAGCGTCACGCGCCGCGCGCCCTGAGGTGGGAGCCGTTGTGAGGGGCCGTTGGGGCCGTTACTCGCTGTGACCCGCCGTCCTGCGCTGCTGGTGGGTCTGGCGCTGGGTATCGGGGCGCTTCCTGATGCTCGCGCTGGCCTGGCGGGGGGTGGGGAGCTGGGTGGTGCCGGGCGCACAGCGGGGCTGAGGGGGGGTCGCGTGTTGCTCCCTCTCTCGGGCTGTTGGCGCTTCCTGACGCTCACGCTGGGCTGGGCGGGCTCTGAGCGCTGGGTGCGGTCCGGGGCTGTGAGGGGGCTACAGAGAGTGGGGGGGAGTTAAACACAGGGTGAGGAGGGGCCCTGGCCCGAAGGGCGCAGAGACGGGGGGGAGGGTCTGGCTGGGGCAGGTTGCTGAGGGGCTATGGGGAGGCCCTGGCGAGGGCAATGGGTGAGCAAAGCTTTGGTTTTTAATTCTGATTTTTTTTGTATCCTCAGTGCTGGTACCTCACACACCCACCTCTCCGGACCTGCCCCTCCATTGCTGAGCTCAGGGAAGTGACATTGCTCCTGTCCCCCAGCCAAGAGGCAGCCATGGCTGCAGAGAGCCCTGTGGAAAGTCTCTGGGAGGAAGCGACACATCCCGTCTGTCTGGAGGATTTCACAGCCCCCGTCACTCTGGAGTGTGAACACAATTTCTGCCAGGCCCCCTTCAGCCCTCAGGGCAGAGTCACTGAGCAGCAGGGACCCCTCCAGTCCAATCAGCAGCTGGTAAACATGGTGGAACTAGCCAAGCAGATGAGTTTCCAGTCAGCAAAGAGAGCAAGATGGGATGGGGTGTATGGGGAGCACCAGGAGGCTCTGAAGCTGTTCTGTAAAGAGAATCAAACTCCTACCTGTGTGGTGTGTGACAAATCCCAAGCTCACATGGTGGTGCCTTTACAGGAAGCGGCCCAGGAGTGCAAGGTACAGAGTTGCTGTCCTTTGTGATGGGGAATAACACTGGGTTTTAATTACAGGCTACTTTGACTGACTGTTACTGGGCACAGGTGTGAAACAGCTCTGTAAAGCCTTTGTGGTACAAGAGATGTTGTAAAAAGAAAATCCTCTGACTTTGTGGCAACTTAAGTCAAGTTTTTATTGATACCTGATGTGGGAAATGTTTTTCTGAGGCTCTGAATCCTGAAACCCAGCCCTCACTGGTGACAGGAGGTTGTGTTTGCACAAGGGAAGGTGTTAATAATGAGAGAGGTTTAGATCACAGGAGCTGCAGGCCACTCTGTCAGTGAGCTGCCTTACGACTGAAGAAGAGGTTATAAGCTGTTACTGATTAGATGAACAGGAATAATAATCCGTCATTTGCCTTATGGACCTGCAGTGGCATTTGAGCTCTGTACAACACCCAGCAAGGGACAGTCCCTGCCCCTGATCAGGTCACAGTCTAGTTACACAAACTGTGGGAAGGGAAGGTGGGGCAGCAAGTTGCTCATAGTCACCAAGCGTCTCAGTGACAGAGTTTAGCCTCGAAGCCAGGTCCAACTGTTAGACTACACTGCTCCCTGTCCCTCAGCATCACTGAACAGTAATGAAGTGTGGCCCTTAGGAAGGAAAAAATGCCTTAATAAAGCCCTTGGCCCAGCAGGGAAAAGAGGTTTCTCTCAGGGATGCTGAAATTCTGGGATGCCCAATGAGGGGTTAAACTCAGATGCAGCAGCTGGCACTAGATGACGTTGCTGGGCTGGATGCTATGTGGGGCCCCAAGCGCCTTCAGTCCACCCATAGCAGGGTTTCAGGAAGTGCAGGACCATGCCAGACACAACTAGGATTCAACTGGATTGTAGCAAGAGTTCAAACTGGTTAACTGATGAGCTAATATTTGTCGGTGCCAGTTACTGGTTAATCTCCCCACTGCCCCAGCAGTGCCCGCTTGCCTCTGACAGCTAATGCCAGTCTGCAGCTGCTGGGAATTCCCACCGGCCAGGAGTTCTTCTGGCCACCTGCGGTAGACCTTGCGAGAGATCCCTGGCCCCAGGAGATCCTGTTTCTGCTACCAGCCGTGCCTGTCAGCAGATAAAAAAACTCCTGTCACTGATAAAATTGTAATGGGTTACATGATGAGTAGTGTTAACCACTTGCATCATTCTTTACGAAGGTGCTACCACCAATCTTTCCCCCACCGTCACAGGTGTCCTGCTGCATCCTCAGTCTCCTCCTGTGTCTTTTTCTATGGACAAAACCATGTCCAGGGTTGAGTCCCTGCTGGACAGGGGCGGAGCTCCAAAAAACTGGGACTTAAAGGCAGACAAATGGGCTCCCAGCATCTGATGTGGTTTGCCCTCATGCTTATATCTATTTCTTCAGGAAAAATTGGAGGCCCATTTGAAGACTCTGAGGGAAGAGAGAGAAAGGGTGCTGGGAAGGAAAACTGTAGCGGAAGAGAAACACCAGGAGTATCTGGTAGGTGCCTGTGGCTATGGACCAGCAGGGACTGGCAGTGGGAGGTCTTTGTTAGGAGGCAGACTCCTGTGTGGCCTTGGTGAGGTTGGGCTAGTTTGTGTTTCTCCTGGATCATGGATTGCAGGGTGAGATCCATGTCAGTGCTTGAGTTAATGTCCAGATTTTGTGGCTTTCCCAGACATCCTCCCCAAGTGAGGTGAATGTCCCTCTGAAGAGCTGTCTGCTCACTTGCTGTATTAATGTGTTTCCTTCTTTTTCCTTCCTGGGTATCTCTGTCAGGCTGGTGCTGAGTCCTGCCTCCTGCTGCTCAGGGTCTGAATTCCCAGAGCCCATGAATAACAAAAGATGCTGCCCATGACAGACATGGGAACATCCCTTTCAGAGGGACATGGGGCCCAAAGGAGATGCTGGGAGAGACGCCTCTGCCTAGTAACCACAAAGTAGAGTCAAATGTCACAAATTTTAGGGTTTTCCAAGAAATTCTCCCTGCTGCACACTCAGCTCTCCATGAAAGGGCCCTGGGCTCCTTTCATGCCCTTGACCAACCCTTTCCCTGTTTTCATACAGAAATGCCGTACAGAAATGGACCCAAGTGGAGAGGCAGATGATTGTGGCTGAGTTTCAGAAGCTGAGGCAGTTCCTGGAGGAAAAAGAGCGACTCCTGCTGGCTCAGCTGGAGAAGCTGGATGAGGAGATTGGGAGGCTCCAGATTGACACTGTCAGGAAACTCTCCATGCAGATTTCCCATCTCAGTGAGTGGATCAGTGAGCTGGAGGGGACGTGTCAGAAGCCAGCAAGTGAATTCCTGCAGGTGAGACTGAGAGAGAAATGTCCCAGCTCTCCACACAGGGAAGGGAGGCTCCTGAATCACAAGTGCTGGGATCCAGCTGTCAGTTCTTGGTGTAACTCCATGTGCATTGCTGCCGTGTGAGTAACTGCTGTGCTTTGTAAAGTTATAGGCACAGAGCTATATAAGAGATGGCAAATCTCGCAGGGAATCCATGTTCCTGGGGCCAGGGCAGGCCTCTCTTCCCATGTTTGCAAAATCCCTTCCCTGAGGTCTCTGTGTGTGTCCAATGGGACTGAGAGTCTTTTCTGTATCTTTTTTTCTAGGACGTCAGAAGCACCCTGAGTAGGTATGTGGCTCTCACTCCCCTCACACTGCACAGCGCAGGGAAAAAGCTTGGATCTGATGTTAGCACCACATCTCCACAGGTCTCTACAGCCAGATGTTAGATACGAATATTTTTGATTTATTTAATTCTGAGAGTCTCACCCTCACAAAGCAGACTCTGGAATTCTCCATTCATAATGAATTCTAGACATACCCCACATCTCCCCAGGGCTCTACAGCCAGATGTCAGATACGAATATCTCTGACTCATTTAATTCTGAGAGTTTCATTCTTGCGCAGCAGACTCTGCAATTCCCCATTCAGGGCACAGTCTGACCTCATGTGTTTCCTGGAGCTGTCACCTCCCTGGGGACTGGCTGCCTTAGGACTATGGGGTGGAACATGGTCCTGTCACTTCTGGGCACATTCAGCCCACGGCAGTAGGATTCAAGAGTCTGTCCCACCTGAGGGTTGTTTGGAGACCTGTGTGGAAGGAGCTGGGGAGCAGGGAGCTGGTGTCTTTGTCTAGTCCCTAATGGACAGATTCATTCAGCCCTTCACCTGGGAACTTCTTGTCCCTCAGTGCCTGGAGGTCAAGGAGTGAGTTGGCTATGAAGAGTCATTTCCTCTTTTGTTCCCCAGCCAGTCTCCCCAGGCCAGAAGTGAAGAACAGCAATGGGACCTTTCAGGGGAAAGTTGCATGGCCATGGGATGTGTTACCCCTGCTCTCAGGCTGAGAGAGAATCAGAGGAATTCTAAGCCTAGGCCTGTTAGAGCTGAGACTTACTAGCCAGAACTTATCAGCAGTAAATGAAATACAATCACATGGAATTGTTTCTGTCCAGGTGTGAGACGGGGCAATTCCAGCTGCCAGAGGAGATTTCCCCTGAACTGGAAGAACAAGTCAGAGATTTCTCCCAGAAAACAATTGCACTGTCGGAGACTCTGAGAGAGTTCAAAGGTATCTTGAAGGGATGAAGGAGGGGAAAGTGGTTCAAGTATCTGAGACTATTGAATCTGGCCTCTGAAGCCAACCTTCCCCTGCCTCAATTCTCACATGGAGAATGACGGCCCCATCACTCTGCTTTCCTTAGAGACACTATGTGAATAGACCCAACTGCTTGCAGATAGAGCCAGAGGTTTGCAAACTCTGAACCTCCCATTCAGAAATCAAAATGGCTTAAGTTACTGTGATGGCCACGTGTCCCACCACCGAAGCTCCAGGTTATGATAAGAGGCAGTAAGTGAATGAGAAACCAAGTGGGAGGGGGTGATGAGGGAAGAGTAAATTTCGTTTACAGCTTGTCTCTCCTGGGACAGGGGTGAGGTTGCGGGGATGTTGGATCCATTGCTGGGAGGTGCCTGAGTGAGAGAAGAAATCAAAGTTTCAGACTCTTTCATACTAAATACCTGAGTGTGTCTCTGTCTGGTCTCTGATACAATTGAAACACAGAGTTCAGAGTGGGGACATTGTTATAAGTAGGAGATCCTGGGATCTCACCTCTTTTATTCTTTCCCTCACCAGGCACTCTGCCTTCTGCACTGGAGAGAGCAAAAAGAAAATCTCTGGGAGCTTTCAGACAGGGTGAGTTTGCAAGTGGAGATTCTTTAAATGATTAGAAAATTCCAGTGATAACATCTTTATGGGATTGCCTTTAAAGTTACCAGCCAAACCCAGTAATCACGGCGAGCACAGCCCTAAATCTCACCCACTGATCAGTGAGGAGACCCAGGGGCACTGCATGGGGACCTGGGAACAGCTCTAAGAAACACTGGTCTATGGGTTTGTGATGCTAAAGGGGTGAAGCTAAAGCACACAGTGGATGGCACCTTCAAGCTCAGATTTCACTGCTCAGTCAGTTTCAATATGGGGTTGGTTTCAAACAATAAATAGGCTGAAAGGCTGGGAGCTGACTGGCTTCCACTATATCAGTTTGTTCAAGGCAAGAAACTGCTGGATCCCCAAGGGCTATTATGTCTAGTGCAAGCCTGGGCAAAATACAGCCCATGAGTCAGAACCACCCCACCAAGCCATCGGATCCAGCCCACAGATGCCACTCCCCATCTGCAAGTCACTCAGAAAGCAACTGTGAGCCTGGAGAGGAGTGGGGAAGGCTTCAGGCGCTGCTTCCATCCCCAGGACAATCTAATTGGCCAGTTTCTGGCCAGAAACAAAGCACTGCGCCCCCTCCGCTCTGCGTCATGATTATTCACACACCCACATGGCCCTGCAGCCTGTGAGAGGGTCAGGCAGGCTCCCTGCCTTCCTGAGATGCTTGGCCTCTGCCCAGGAGTCACTCAGATAAGTCTCCTGTCCAGAGCTTGCCTCTGGCACCCCAAGATGTCTCTTCCCCTCCTAATCTCTGTTCCCCACTCCTGCACTGCACTTTGCATACCCAAAATCTGTCGTCCTGCTACAAGAGCTCTCAGTGGTCAGAAACCCACAACCCCTTATTTGTCCTTTCAGCCACTTATCTACATTGAAGTTACTTTAAATATCTAATGAGTAATTAGTAATCCTGAGTCCTAGATCATAGCCTGCCTCCTTCACCCAAGCTCCCTCCTAGACCCCTCTATTTGTCTTGCATCCTAAACCCTTACCCCAAACTTCCTTCTTCTCCCAACGTCCATCCCAGACCCTGCATTTCCTGCATTAATGTCATGGAAGAGTGCAGCTCTCAGCCACTTGCAATTTGGCCCCCCCATCAAAATGAAGTGTGCATGCCATCAACTGGATAAGGCTCAGTGAGAGCCAATAAGTGAAAGCTGAAGCTGGAGTATTTCAGGCTAGAAAAGAGGCACAAATGTTTGATCGGGAAGAGGATTAAGTGCTGAAACAAGTGAGCAAACAACTGGTGGATTCTCCATCTCTTGATGTCTTCAAATCACTGGGGGACTTTCTAGAAAATACACTGTAGAGAAACAGAGCTTTGTGCCTGGGTAACTGGACTAAGTGTAATGGCTTGTGCCACAGAGAGGGTCAGACTGCTTGACTGAGGATATCTTCTGATCCCATGAATTTAAAGATCTCATCTTGCAAACAGTCAGCGCACGTGTTTAATAATAAGCATCTGAATGGTGGTGTTATCTTCATTGTCTCTCTGTTGTGGAACGGGTTTATATCGTCTCTGTCAGATGAGAGAGCAAAGTTTGTGCTGCAAATTTGTGAATGAAGACTAAGGGTTTTAAATAGAGCAGTCTACATTTAACCTATGTCCATGGTCAGTCAGATGAATATGTGGCTTATCAGAAACACTGATTGCTGAGAACTAAGTCCCATGGTTGCAGATGCATTAATGTTGTAACTCATGCCAGATACAGAGAGAAATGAATATGGATTTGGGATCTAACTCCTGTTTATGGAATATCTAGATTAAAACTTTTGCCCACAGAGTCTAGCTTGTGTGTCACCAGGGACAGAGTCTGGGGAGAATGGGTGTGTGGAAAGTATTAAAGCCCCTTCTGAAATGTCTCCAATTCCCCTTCTTCTCCTGCCAGACTGCAGGACACACATGTCTGTCTCCAGCTCAGCCCCTGTCTTGCAGAGCCAGGGACACAAAATGGCTGTGATGGAGCCGGTGAGCTTCGAGGAGGTGGCTGTGTATTTCTCTGAGGAGGAATGGGCTCTGCTGGGCCCTCGCCAGAGAGCGCTCTACAGGGATGTGATGCAGGAGAATAATGAGGCTGTGAACTGGCTGAGTAAGGATTTCTGTCCCTTTGGGTAACAGAAGCTGGGTTGGCTTTGGAGCAGCTGGGATGGGTTTGGTTCAGAGTCATTCATTGCATCTGCCCCCAATGTCAGGATTATCTCCCATAATAATCCTAGCTCTTGTGTGAAAGACTGTCCCCGCTGTGCCCCCTCTCAGGGAAAGCAGGTTCAGGTGACCATAAGCCTGGGCTATTGTGAACGTGCTGTCCTGGGCATCTTTCCTCAGTCACACCCAAATTCCCATTCCCATCTAGATTGTGGTGCAGTGCCCAGGAAAGCTGAGGCACACACATGGGGTTACTACAGGACAGTAGAAATCAAATAACAAAGTGAATAGAGTGATTACATTCCTGACTTTGTCACATCCCCCACCCTGTTCTGCCCTTCTGCTCTCAAGATGTCTTAGTTACCCCAGTCCCAAGTAGGATCAGATTGTGCTCAGGGAATATTTGTTGTGACACACACTCTGCCCAGATTGCATGTGCCTTCACCTTGCCTGATTTTTACCCTGTGCAGGATTCTCCATTCTCAAACCTGACTTGGTTGCCCAGCTGGAACGAGGGGAAGAGCCGTGGGTCTCAGATTTCCAGTCCTCGAAAGAAATGGAAATCCTGAGAGTCACCCGCACAGGTGAGGAATCAGGGAAACTGACACAGAAACCATTCGGAAAATGCAGAAAAAAGCTGGGACTCCCAAAAATGAGCAGTGAGCAAGAGCCCTCAATTTTACCCCATATCTCCCTGGTAGGGCTGCAGGTATCATCCTAACAAAGACCTGTCACAACTCCCTAGTCATTCTGTTAGCTATCAGGAGTTTCCTCCCTATGTTTCCTTCCCTGGAAATGTTTGGATGGGATGTGGAGGCAGAATCCAATGTCGCGGTCTCTCAAACTATTATTGTGTTGTGCTTTCTGTCTTTGCCATTCCCCTGTGCGTTCTTACTTCCCAGCACAGACAGTAACTCCTGCCTGCATTCTCTCTCCCAGCAGGTGATAGGACAGAGAGGGAGAAAAAGGAGGAAAATCAACCGCATGAAGGTTCTGGCACCGTAGAATCACAGGACTTTTCCCAATATGTAGAACAATGGGAAGCCTGGGGAAATCAACAGAGGGCAGAGAGGCATCTGAAAAACAATTCAAGTAGGAAAGTGGAGAAATCCAGTGAATGTGGGAGAGGATCTAGTGATCCCAAGGAAACACCAGCCCAGCAGGCAAATCACAATGGAAAGAAACCCTGTGAATGCTCAGACTATGGGAAAAGATTGAATGAGGAGTCAGGCCTTATTCTGCCCCAGAGAGGGCACACAGGAGAGAGACTCTGCAAATGCCTGGAGTGTGGAGAAAGTTTGATTGATCTGTCATCCCCTATTGAACCTGAGGTTACCCCCATGGGAGAGAAATCCCATAAATGCTCTGAGTGTGGGAAAAGTTTCACTTTCAGATCACACCTTAGTAGCCATCAGAAAACCCACATTGGAGAGAGACCATATAGATGCTTGCAATGTGGGAAAAGCTTCAAACAGAAGTCAAGCCTTATTGTACATCAGAGAATCCACACAGGGGAGAGACCATATAAATGCCCTGAGTGTGGAAAAGATTTCACTGAACGATCAACCCTCAGTAGGCATGAGAGAACCCACACAGGAGAGAGACCATATAAGTGTTTCCATTGTGGGAAAAGTTTCCGATTCAGTTCAAACCTTTTTATCCATCAGAGAGTGCACACGGGAGAGAGGCCGTATAAATGCCAGGAGTGTGGGAAAGCTTTCGCTGTACACGCGTACCTCCTTAACCACAAGAGAACACACACAGGAGAGAGACCATATAAATGCCACGAGTGTGGGAAAGGATTCACTGAACGATCAGCTCACTATAGACATGAGAGAACCCACATCAGAGTGAGACCATATAAATGCCAGGAGTGTGGGAAATGTTTCCTTTCCCAATCAGATCTTATTAAACATGAGAGAACACATACGGGAGAGTCACCATATAAGTGCCATGAGTGTGGGAAAGGTTTCACTATACAATCAGCCCTCAGTAGACATGAGAGAACCCACACGGGCGAGAGACCATATAAATGCCACGAATGTGGGAAAAGTTTCGCTGAACAATCAGCTCTCATTAGACATGAGAGAACCCACACAGGGGAGAGACCATATAAATGCCATGAGTGTGGGAAAGGTTTCACTGTACGATCAGACCTCATTAGACATGAAAGAACCCACACAGGAGAGAGACCATATAAGTGCTTCCATTGTGGGAAAAGCTTCAGTGTGAGTTCATACCTTTTTGTCCATCAGGGTGTGCACACGGGAGAGAGGCCGTATAAATGCAATGAGTGTGGAAAAGATTTCACTTTTCAATCAGCCCTGAGTAAGCATGAGAAAACCCACATGGCAGAGAGACCATGTAAGTGCTTTGACTGTGGAAAAAGGTTCAAAGAGAGTAAGTGAATGAGAAACCAAGTGGGAGGGGGTGATGAGGGAAGAGTAAATTTCGTTTACAGCTTGTCTCTCCTGGGACAGGGGTGAGGTTGCGGGGATGTTGGATCCATTGCTGGGAGGTGCCTGAGTGAGAGAAGAAATCAAAGTTTCAGACTCTTTCATACTAAATACCTGAGTGTGTCTCTGTCTGGTCTCTGATACAATTGAAACACAGAGTTCAGAGTGGGGACATTGTTATAAGTAGGAGATCCTGGGATCTCACCTCTTTTATTCTTTCCCTCACCAGGCACTCTGCCTTCTGCACTGGAGAGAGCAAAAAGAAAATCTCTGGGAGCTTTCAGACAGGGTGAGTTTGCAAGTGGAGATTCTTTAAATGATTAGAAAATTCCAGTGATAACATCTTTATGGGATTGCCTTTAAAGTTACCAGCCAAACCCAGTAATCACGGCGAGCACAGCCCTAAATCTCACCCACTGATCAGTGAGGAGACCCAGGGGCACTGCATGGGGACCTGGGAACAGCTCTAAGAAACACTGGTCTATGGGTTTGTGATGCTAAAGGGGTGAAGCTAAAGCACACAGTGGATGGCACCTTCAAGCTCAGATTTCACTGCTCAGTCAGTTTCAATATGGGGTTGGTTTCAAACAATAAATAGGCTGAAAGGCTGGGAGCTGACTGGCTTCCACTATATCAGTTTGTTCAAGGCAAGAAACTGCTGGATCCCCAAGGGCTATTATGTCTAGTGCAAGCCTGGGCAAAATACAGCCCATGAGTCAGAACCACCCCACCAAGCCATCGGATCCAGCCCACAGATGCCACTCCCCATCTGCAAGTCACTCAGAAAGCAACTGTGAGCCTGGAGAGGAGTGGGGAAGGCTTCAGGCGCTGCTTCCATCCCCAGGACAATCTAATTGGCCAGTTTCTGGCCAGAAACAAAGCACTGCGCCCCCTCCGCTCTGCGTCATGATTATTCACACACCCACATGGCCCTGCAGCCTGTGAGAGGGTCAGGCAGGCTCCCTGCCTTCCTGAGATGCTTGGCCTCTGCCCAGGAGTCACTCAGATAAGTCTCCTGTCCAGAGCTTGCCTCTGGCACCCCAAGATGTCTCTTCCCCTCCTAATCTCTGTTCCCCACTCCTGCACTGCACTTTGCATACCCAAAATCTGTCGTCCTGCTACAAGAGCTCTCAGTGGTCAGAAACCCACAACCCCTTATTTGTCCTTTCAGCCACTTATCTACATTGAAGTTACTTTAAATATCTAATGAGTAATTAGTAATCCTGAGTCCTAGATCATAGCCTGCCTCCTTCACCCAAGCTCCCTCCTAGACCCCTCTATTTGTCTTGCATCCTAAACCCTTACCCCAAACTTCCTTCTTCTCCCAACGTCCATCCCAGACCCTGCATTTCCTGCATTAATGTCATGGAAGAGTGCAGCTCTCAGCCACTTGCAATTTGGCCCCCCCATCAAAATGAAGTGTGCATGCCATCAACTGGATAAGGCTCAGTGAGAGCCAATAAGTGAAAGCTGAAGCTGGAGTATTTCAGGCTAGAAAAGAGGCACAAATGTTTGATCGGGAAGAGGATTAAGTGCTGAAACAAGTGAGCAAACAACTGGTGGATTCTCCATCTCTTGATGTCTTCAAATCACTGGGGGACTTTCTAGAAAATACACTGTAGAGAAACAGAGCTTTGTGCCTGGGTAACTGGACTAAGTGTAATGGCTTGTGCCACAGAGAGGGTCAGACTGCTTGACTGAGGATATCTTCTGATCCCATGAATTTAAAGATCTCATCTTGCAAACAGTCAGCGCACGTGTTTAATAATAAGCATCTGAATGGTGGTGTTATCTTCATTGTCTCTCTGTTGTGGAACGGGTTTATATCGTCTCTGTCAGATGAGAGAGCAAAGTTTGTGCTGCAAATTTGTGAATGAAGACTAAGGGTTTTAAATAGAGCAGTCTACATTTAACCTATGTCCATGGTCAGTCAGATGAATATGTGGCTTATCAGAAACACTGATTGCTGAGAACTAAGTCCCATGGTTGCAGATGCATTAATGTTGTAACTCATGCCAGATACAGAGAGAAATGAATATGGATTTGGGATCTAACTCCTGTTTATGGAATATCTAGATTAAAACTTTTGCCCACAGAGTCTAGCTTGTGTGTCACCAGGGACAGAGTCTGGGGAGAATGGGTGTGTGGAAAGTATTAAAGCCCCTTCTGAAATGTCTCCAATTCCCCTTCTTCTCCTGCCAGACTGCAGGACACACATGTCTGTCTCCAGCTCAGCCCCTGTCTTGCAGAGCCAGGGACACAAAATGGCTGTGATGGAGCCGGTGAGCTTCGAGGAGGTGGCTGTGTATTTCTCTGAGGAGGAATGGGCTCTGCTGGGCCCTCGCCAGAGAGCCCTCTACAGGGATGTGATGCAGGAGAATAATGAGGCTGTGAACTGGCTGAGTAAGGATTTCTGTCCCTTTGGGTAACAGAAGCTGGGTTGGCTTTGGAGCAGCTGGGATGGGTTTGGTTCAGAGTCATTCATTGCATCTGCCCCCAGTGTCAGGATTATCTCCCATAATAATCCTAGCTCTTGTGTGAAAGACTGTCCCCGCTGTGCCCCCTCTCAGGGAAAGCAGGTTCAGGTGACCATAAGCCTGGGCTATTGTGAACGTGCTGTCCTGGGCATCTTTCCTCAGTCACACCCAAATTCCCATTCCCATCTAGATTGTGGTGCAGTGCCCAGGAAAGCTGAGGCACACACATGGGGTTACTACAGGACAGTAGAAATCAAATAACAAAGTGAATAGAGTGATTACATTCCTGACTTTGTCACATCCCCCACCCTGTTCTGCCCTTCTGCTCTCAAGATGTCTTAGTTACCCCAGTCCCAAGTAGGATCAGATTGTGCTCAGGGAATATTTGTTGTGACACACACTCTGCCCAGATTGCATGTGCCTTCACCTTGCCTGATTTTTACCCTGTGCAGGATTCTCCATTCTCAAACCTGACTTGGTTGCCCAGCTGGAACGAGGGGAAGAGCCGTGGGTCTCAGATTTCCAGTCCTCGAAAGAAATGGAAATCCTGAGAGTCACCCGCACAGGTGAGGAATCAGGGAAACTGACACAGAAACCATTCGGAAAATGCAGAAAAAAGCTGGGACTCCCAAAAATGAGCAGTGAGCAAGAGCCCTCAATTTTACCCCATATCTCCCTGGTAGGGCTGCAGGTATCATCCTAACAAAGACCTGTCACAACTCCCTAGTCATTCTGTTAGCTATCAGGAGTTTCCTCCCTATGTTTCCTTCCCTGGAAATGTTTGGATGGGATGTGGAGGCAGAATCCAATGTCGCGGTCTCTCAAACTATTATTGTGTTGTGCTTTCTGTCTTTGCCATTCCCCTGTGCGTTCTTACTTCCCAGCACAGACAGTAACTCCTGCCTGCATTCTCTCTCCCAGCAGGTGATAGGACAGAGAGGGAGAAAAAGGAGGAAAATCAACCGCATGAAGGTTCTGGCACCGTAGAATCACAGGACTTTTCCCAATATGTAGAACAATGGGAAGCCTGGGGAAATCAACAGAGGGCAGAGAGGCATCTGAAAAACAATTCAAGTAGGAAAGTGGAGAAATCCAGTGAATGTGGGAGAGGATCTAGTGATCCCAAGGAAACACCAGCCCAGCAGGCAAATCACAATGGAAAGAAACCCTGTGAATGCTCAGACTATGGGAAAAGATTGAATGAGGAGTCAGGCCTTATTCTGCCCCAGAGAGGGCACACAGGAGAGAGAGACTGCAAGTGCTTGAAGTGTGGAAAAAGTTTGATTGAACTGTCATCCCATATTGAACATGAGATTGTCTGCAAGGGAGAGAAATCCCATAAATGCTTTGAGTGTGGGAAAAGCTTCTCTTCGAGATCACACCTTAGTAGACATCAGCAAACCCACACTGGAGAGAGGCCATATAGATGCTTGGAATGCGGGAAAAGCTTCAGTCAGAGTTCATACCTTTTTATACATGAGAGAATCCATACAGGGGAGAGACCATATAAATGTCATGAGTGTGGGAAAAGTTTCACTTGGCATTCAGAGCTCATTAGACACGAGAGAACCCACACGGGAGAGAAACCATACAAGTGCTCTGACTGTGAGGAAAGCTTCAGTCAGAGCTCAAACCTTACTGTCCATCAGAGACTGCACACAGGCGAGAGACCACATAAATGCCATGAATGTGGGAAAGGTTTCACCAAGCGATCAGTCCTTACTGTCCATGAGAGAACCCACACGAAAGAAAAACCATATAAATGCCATGAATGTGGGAAAGGTTTCACCAAGCGATCAGTCCTTACTGTCCATGAGAGAACCCACACAGGAGAGAAACCATATAAATGCTATGCATGTGGGAAATGTTTCACTAGTCAAACAGTCCTCATGAGACATGAGAGAACCCACACAGGAGAGAGGCCGTATAAATGCTGTAAATGTGGGAAAGATTTCACTTGGCAATCTGCCCTCATTGGACATGAGAGAACACATGGGAAAGAGAAGCCATATAAGTGCTTGGATTGTGGGGCAAGCTTCAGTCAGACTTCACACCTTATTATCCATCAGAAACTGCACATAAGAGAGCCTGTATAAATGCAATGTGTGTGGGGAAAGCTTTCGGCTCACCTTATACCTGACTAGACATCAGAGCATCCACACAGGTTTTGCATCAGCAAATTCCTCAGGGAAGAACCCTCTGGCCCGTATGCAGGGAGGGAGAGAAGGCTGCAAAAGAACCCCCCTACAGTCCCGCAAATAAGTATACTGCAGCCAGTCAAGGGAAAGCAGGGGAGGTGCACTGCCTGAGCCTTCCTCCCCCATGTTCTGGTGGACTGGGGGAAGGCTGAAGCTGATTTCCCCATTTACTTGGAGGACCATGGAGGGAGGAGGATCTCCAGTTTGCTGCTATACCACTCCTGCACCACATACCTATCCCAAATCCCCTCATATACAACCGACTCCTGAATCCCCTCATCGCCAGCGCCCATCATCAAATTGGCAGAAAACACCCTGAATACATGCATGAAACTGGATTTGACTAGTTATGATGTAAACTTCAAAGAAATGTGTGAAAAGATGCAGAAATCCCATTAAATAGTCTGTGAGTGTGTTTCATTTATGCTATTAATAATCTCCATGTCAATTATCAATCATATTTAGTTATATACTTTCAGTCATGCAAACAGGCATTTTTATATGGCTCTTTGAGAATCACTTGTTCTGAGTTTTGATGTAGTTCAGCTCTTTGGGGTTTGAAAAGATTGCTGACCTGCACTCTAACAAAAGTATTTTACACACCAGGCCTTACACAGGAATAATTCTGAGTGTGAGTGTGAGAGAGAAATGTGAGGTGCAAACATTTGACTGCATCCCCTTTCCTCCATGGTAAAAAGTTATTCCTCTCCCCATGAGGAATAAACCCTCTTGTGCAAGAACTTGTCCACAAGGAGGCAGTATGGACAGGCAACAGGGGTTCCTTGCTCAAGAAAGCCCTCTGGCTAAAATGACCATCAGAGCTTTCTTGTGCAAGAGAGCATCCACACTACCATTGGCGTTCTTGCAGAAAAGCACTTCTCTTGTGCAAAAACACATGGAAGTGTAGACGCACTGTTGCACAATACCTTTTCCACAAGAACTCTTGTACAAACAGTTCTTGCACAGGAAGCTTGCAGGGTAGATGTAGACAGGGAGCTACGTCTAGACTGGCATGATTTTCTGGAAATGCTTTTAACAGAAAACTTTTCCATTAAAAGCATTTTCGGAACAGAGCGTCTAGATTTGCACGGACGCTTTTCTGCAAAAGCACTTCTGTGCCAATTTTGCGGAAAAGCGTCCGTGTTTTTCTGCAAAAAAGCCCCAATCGCCATTTTCGTGATCGGGGCTTTTTTGCAGAAAACAAATCTGGGCTGTTTACACTGGCCCTTTTGCTCAAAAGTTTTGCGCAAAAGGACTTTTGCCCAAACGGGAGCAGCATAGTATTTCCGCAAGAACACTGACAATCTTACATGAGATCGTCAGTGCTTTTGCAGAAATTCAAGCGGCCAGTGTAGACAGCTGGCAAGTTTTTCCAGAAAAGTGGCTGATTTTCCAGAAAAACTGGCCAGTCTAGACAGCTGGGGTGTTTGCGTTTGTTACCAGCACTGAGCTTTGTACAACAGCCCAGGGAACATTATGAAAAGGCAAAACCTTCTTTCCCTGGGTGTCCCTGGCCAGCCAGCGAGTGGCACAAAGGTTCCCTGAAGTGCTGACTTTGTGTCGTTGAAGCAGGTTTCACATAGCTGCAGTGAGGTGGCTGAGAGGTTAAAGCAATAGACTGCTGATCTATTGCACTCATGGGTTCAAATCCCATACTTGTTGTGCATCTGCAGTCCTTCCTCTTCTACCAGAAGTTCAGTGTCAGCCCCTCCTGTAACACTGCCTGCCCCAGCCCCCTGCAGTCTGGGGAAAGGGGAAATCTCAACAGAGACGTTCCCAGATGTAACAAAAGACAGGCCTATGCAGAACTTTAAAGACTAACAAGATGGTTTATTAGGTGATGAGCTTCTTAAAGTGCTACATAGTCCTGTCTTTTGTTTCAGCAAGACCAGACTAACATGGCTACATCTCTAGTACTACTCCCTTTCTGCCCTCAAGAGGAAACTTCACAAAGGAGATTCCAGGCAGCCAGACCATGGTGGTCTCTGAGTTTGCCCCACCCCTGCAGCCTATCCCATCTGGCTGTTGCCATGGACCCTCTGTGAAGTCACTGCCTCCCAACCAATGAGCTGAGGTGCTGCAAAAGGACCTAGTGATGTCACTGCTGCCTGGCTGGGCCCATGTCCTGCCCCTGGACAGCTCCGTGGCATGTTTGAGCTGCTCTCAGGGCTGACTTATCCAGTAGGCATAGTGCCTAGGGCCCATGATACTTTTCGGGGCCCACAAAAATGTTTTAATTTCTTTTAAAATTAGAAGAAAAAAAATGAACTTTTAGGGTTAAAGAAAATGTTTTAATTTTTTTCTCAAATCAGAAAAAAATGAAACTTTTAGGGCCCACAAAAATCTATTAAATTTTGCCTAAAACAGAAAAAAAAATGTTGGAGTACTTAAAGTTATATCAGAAATAATTTTTAATATTTTTTTTATGTAGGAAGGGGCCCATGAAAGCAAAAGTGCCTAGAACCCATGAAAGTCATAATGTGGCCCTGGCTGCTCTCCTTGTGCCCCCCCACTCAGTCAGGTCTAGTTCTGGGGTTCACTCGGGGAACATCAGAGGCTGCTCAGGGCACCACATGCCCCCAAGGTCGCTTTTTAAATGTCAGGGCAAGCCAGGATCTATCCCATCCCTTTTCCCCAAAACCCCACCCCGTTGTTGAGCCCCTGCTCTCTCCAAACCATTCCATGGATTATCCATTGCTAATAGACACTCTCCACTAATGACATAATTATACCCCAGCCATTTTGCTAGGGCTGCAGCTGGGGAGAACAGTTTAATTTAAATAATTAAACAGATTAAGTGTTTGATCATGTTAGTTGATCAAACTTCATTTTAAGTAAAAGAAAACATTTCGGCTAGCACAAAAGGTTTCGATGTTGCTTTATTTATGGCAGGGCTGGGGAACATTCTTTGGATCAGGGGCCACTGATTCACAGAAAAATCAGGGGCCACAAAAGTGAGAAACAAAAACACTCTTCCAAAGGCCCCCAGCCTTTTCTGATGTTGGCCCTAATTAAGACACCTCCCGCCTCTGGCGTTCCGGCCCCCATGGTGTGAGGGGAAGGCACAGGAAGGACTGAGGTTCAGATTTACTTTTCTGGGCCTCCAGAGCTAGTGGATTTTGTGGACTTGCTTAGGCTCTGGGGTGGGGACAACTCTGAGGGGTTAGTGTGCAGGACAGGGCTGCCAGCAAGTGGGATGCAGGACGAGGTTAGGAGGGCAGGATCTGGAAGGGAGTTTGGCAGCAGGAGAGGGTGTGGGATGGGGGTATGAGAAGAAGTTTGGGTGCTGGAGGGGGTTGGGGCAGTAACTTAGAAGGCTGAGCCTGGAGACCCAGCACAAGCTCCCAGCTGCATGGGAGCATGGGGTAGAGCTGGGAAATTGACTTGTTTGCCACTTGTGGGTTATCGACCCCTCATCTAAGCTGTTTGTTAGTAACTGGCGGGTGCCAAAGGACACACGTCCGAACAGGTGCATACGAGCTCATTATTGCTGCACAAGACAAAATTCACTCACTTTGTAGATGGAAGCTCCTAGGCTATGTCTACACTGGTAGGATCTTGAGCCAGAGCTATGCAAATGAGGCTAAACGTGGCATATTGCTGAGCCTCGTTTGCATATCTAATGAGCCACCATTTTTGCAGAAGAGGCTCTTGCGCAAGAAGGAGCTGTCTACACTGCCCCTTCTTGCGCAAGAAAAACCCTCTTGCGCAATGCCATTGTTCCTGAAAATAATCAGTGTAACAGCATTGCGCAAGAGCTTCTTCCACAAAAATGGCAGCTCATTGGATGTGCAAATGAGGCTCGGCAATATGCCACGTTTAGCCTTCTTTGTATAGCTCTGGCGCAAGATCGTGCCAGTGTAGACATAGCCCTAGAGGGAACAGTAATTGGGAGTGTCTCAGGGGTTGTGTAGCTTGGTGCCCTGGTTAGGGGTGTGGCCAAAACACAAGTCTCACTGTGAGCAGGATTTAAACCTACTCAGGGAAACCCTATTGGATTTCTAATTAACCATTCGGCCATCAGCCAAGAGCACAGTAACACCTCAGGGCCAGGGAAACTGGTAAATAATCCCAGTGTCCAGGCCTGATGTCACCTGCCACATAGAATTCACACAGCAAACCTGGCTCCTAGAGTATAGGGGGAGCTTGGGAAGGTCGTTGCTAGGCAGTGGGGTGAAGCATCAAACTAGAGCCTTCTGTGGGGCCTGTGAGTGTTGCTGTTCCTGCTGTATAGACTCAGCCATAGAGCCAGGGAGAGATTCACTGAACAGGCCAAGGTCACTCAATGAGTTAGAGCCAAGATCTGCCCCCTGCTCCACCCACCAACGTGCTGACTCCCTTGCTGCCATGCAGCTGTTTGCATTGGCCTCTTCTCTCTGGAACCAGGTTTAAGCCATGGCAGGGGGCTGGGTATGGGGGGGTCTGAGTGTGGGAGGGGCTGGGTGTGTTCCTTAGGCTCAGCTTTTTCCTTTTTTCTACCCTAGCATGTGCCCTGCTGTAAAGCAGAGAAAGGAGATGCGGGAGAGTTGTAAACTACAGGGCTTCTAAGTTGTGGTTCTAAGTATGAGTCAGAGCAGGCATTCAAAGATGGTGGGTTCGAATCACACCAGAGTCACTTTAGCTACTCTCTGATTTCCAGGGCAGCTTTTACAGAACAGGCTGGACCTGCGCCTGTTGCATGATGGGAGAGATAGGGAGCTTGTGATCCCAGGACCTCTGTGTGCGACTTCCCGGGGGGTGGGGGGGTCACTACACACAGAAGAGAGCCCCTGGGTACCACACACTGACGACCGAGTCCTACTCCAGGTTCATCCCAGTGCTCTGGCTGTGAGAGACGTGCCTGTAACTCCCTGCTGGGAGCGTGGGCCCTGCCCTGCCTGATGTGAGAGAGGACAAACACAGGGCCAGTTGACAGTGGGGCCGTCCAGCCCTTCAGCCGGATTCAGACCAGGCCGGCGGGAGCCTCTCGCGCTGGCCAAGGGGGATTCTGCACTTGCTGCCTTGGGAGCCAGGGTCACATTGCAGAGCTCCCCCAGGGCTATCCCACAGTGCTGCCAGGCCAGCTCCAGCTGCTCTCCTGCTCCTTCAGCAGCATGGCTGCATTTTATCCTTCCCCTTCAGTAACAACCAGCCATTCCCCACCCAGCCTCAGCCACTGTGGGACCCGCTGGGCTGCAGCTGTGGGAGACAAGCCCCTGATATTGGGAGGGAGACGAGATGTCAAAGTGTTGAGTTTCGCCCATGACTCGGAGCCAGCTGCAGATACCTACTGAGAGATCATTTTCAGAGGTGTGTCATCAGCCCTTCTTGTACATCTGGCTTCTTGAAAGGGGTTCAGTCAGGCATCTAAAATCTGAGGAAAGGACATTTAGAAGGGTGAATCTCTGTCTCCGGAGGGCTGTTTTCTATTTGCTGCAGTGGCCTAATGGACAA